AAAGGCAGTTTTACCTTCTGCTTGCTCCATGCTGTCTAGCTGCAGTTCTTTTACATTGGTTAGCTCAAGTGGTCCCTGCTTCGTTTCCTTGACCATTCCGGGAGGATCCCACATATATTCCTGCTTTGAGTTAGCAGGCCAACCTACAGCCTGGACTCCTCCGCCCAAAGCAAATGCCAAAATATCTCTCCCCTCTTCCTCTGAGCACTGGATAAAGTCAGTTGGCAGCTGAGCATGCAGCAGCACACCTGCTCGCCTTCTTTACAGGAAACCAGGCTCAGCAGCACTGACCCCCATCCCACACCTCGACCTTTTTCCAAATAAAAATGCAGCCTGATTTCTGATACAGCAGGAGCAATCTCGCCTCTTCCCAACATGGACAATCTGATGGCCAGCAGAATTCCTGTCCTCCCACGTCATCTGCACCAGCAGCCTTTTAAAAAAAGGACAACTTTATCTGAAAGAGATTAACTGCAGAAGCATGGCCGATAAATGCTCTCAACAGCAGGTGCCAGATGATTGTTCAGTTCTTCACAAGAGAGTGACCTCTTAACTTTTTGTTGTCTGCTGTGTAGTGTGAATGGAAATCTGTCCCTCGCCATGCAGCAGCATCCTGCCCGAGTCTCCCTACCGCCCTGCTTTCCCAGGGACCCTTCCCAGGAGAATTAAGACCGCTCAGCTTTACGTCAGTCAGTGATGAGGGTTAGAGAATCAAATATTACTGAAAAAAACCCCCGAAGTGGTAGAGAGATAACACTTACAGCTTTTTCTACCAGTTCCTCTCAAGTGACATTTCAATACCCCTTGAATGCAAATCCTATAGTTTAACTTTTACAGAGATCAGCGTTTCTTATTTTTTTTGTCAGATAATAAGGGTTAACAGACATATCAGGCATCCACGCTCACCCTAGAGGAATCATGCTCTGAATCTGGACAGGACAAGAATCACGAGGTAAAAGGACTTGCCAAAAATTGTTCATCTAACAGTACTGGTGGAAGAGGATTCAGTTATTAATATATTATTAATATATGCTACTATAATTAGCAGCTAGATCCTTAGAATGAAGGAATGAAAAATGAAAAATAAATTCCTCTTGGGAATGAAGCAGAAAAATGTTTGCTAGACACATTTACCTTGCACGTAAGTGAACTTTTTTTCATCTGAAAAAAATTTCTAGGGGAAACTTTAGAGGGCAAGAAGCCAGGCTGAGCAAAGCCGTCAGCCTCGAAGCTGCTAAGAAAACAAGCCCACCTCACCCCTATTCTTGATTTATCTGAGAAACTGGTCAGAATACATTCAAAAATAAGGAAGAGAAAGATGTGTTTCCTGTTTCTAACAACTTGCCTGATGGCAAGTGCTACCACCTTGCAGGAACCTTCCCAAGGAACAGGAAGAACAAAGGTGCTGGGGGGAAAAAAAAAAAATAAACCACCACCAAAGAAAGGACAAATTAAAATCCTAATTCTTACAAAACCAGGCCAGATTTCAAATTCAGGAGTGTCCTTTTAAACTGGTCACACAACTGAGAACACAGACTTGCCCTACAGAAGTTCTCAGGCAAAGCCCGTCTCACTCCACGCGACAGCTACCCACGGGCTGAGGGCTGCATTGTAGCCTTTCAAATTGTTCTGAGAACCAAATCTGCATATAATATGAAAGGCTTCAGAGACACCTGGATGTCTCATGGCACGAGTCACATTCCAGCTTGACAAGATCTGCAGCCCCCTCTTCGTGCACCAGGGACACAGCAACAAGGAGCTTTCAGCATGCAGAGAGCCTGCAACTTGAGGAAACCTCTCGAGAGGAGGACTCCCGGGGAAGATGAGACCACAGAGCCCTGCACTGAAACTGCATGGACAAGGTCGCAGATGAACTTTGCAAAGGAGCTTTCAGTGGCACTAGAGGCCGCTGTGACCCTGGCTGAAGGCGGATAAATCCAGCAGTGGGCCGTGACCAACAGCACCCCGAGTCCCCACCACCTGCTTGCACCAACCCGAAACCAAAAGGATGTTAGCTTTGCACCAGGAAGAACAGGGTCTGCCTGTGATACTGCAGGCACAGCACCCACACACTTGTAATTCACCCTCAGCAGAGCCAGTGATGTTTTGAGTTCAGATGGGCAAACGCATCTGCAACGTGAGGCAATCTGACACTGGCAGGCAATCATCAAAACAGCCAAACAACAGTGTCCATCAGTGCCTCCAAAATTCCCATGAAAAAGAAGCAGAAATTGCTTGGTAAAAATATTGACTCTGGAAGGTGGCATGTTTCCAGCCTCTCATCATCAGCACACCGCAGTGCTGCAGTGGAACTAAGGGAGGCTGATCGTGCAGCCGGGTACATGTAAATACGCACGGCGGGAGCTTGGCTGAACGTCCAAGACATATGGCTCTAACACCAGGCTGTGATTCGCTACGGTCTGTCCAGGTAGACAGACTGCATTGCATTCCTTTAAGCTGAGTTCTCCTGTGCTGCTGTCTTGTTTGTTTTTTCTTTCCTCCAATTTGTCATGATGTGAGGCATGATTCACATTATTTTCCAGCTATTGGAGCCTTTGCTGACCAGTTTAGCTAGCAAACAAGCAGCAGGCAAAACACCATGGATGGAACACTACGGAGGGCCAGGGTAAGGCCTGCTGGCCCCCAAAGGATGCAAAACAGCACTCTAGAGCACTTTACTAGTTCCTCCCCAGACCTAGCAGTCTCTTCTGCTTTAACCTTTTGGCTCCACGCAGCTAATTTAAGGCCACAAGTTAGGAGACATCCCTGTGATCTAATATTAGATGATAAGCTTGTTTATGTTTTTGTTGCTAAGAGAAAGCTGGAGCTTTGGAAACACTGAAGCAGACCAAATGCTACTGCAACAGCTGCCGGTGGGAACTGAAATCCATATAGTGCTTCCCTGACAACTGTTTGCCATTTTCCTTTTTTATCTTATTTTACTGGAATTGGTCTCCTTCCAAAATAAACTTTTCCCATTTAGGTGACCTCTCCTGCTTCTCTAGGTCTAGGTTTCCAAGTTCAAAATGTGCAGGCAGTTCCCCACTTAGTATATCCTGTTGTTAGAACACACATACATAAATAAGGTTTCCTCCACCCACAAGCACAATGCATCATTGCTGTGCCTTTTTTCCTCTCAGTAGTTTCAAAGTATCAATTAAAGGTGGGAGGAATTTTCTGGTGTTTCTTTTTATATTGCCATAATTCACAGGAGATGGTTCTCTATTAAAAATTCAGAAGACTTAAACAGATCTTCCATATTATTTATAGAAACTCATTCGGCAATAAATGCCAATGCAGTAATATTAATAGATGCTCTTTGGGGCATCTACAAGTACTATCACAGTCAAGTTCCCTGTCTGCAGACAGTGCCAGAAGTCTGGTGGGTTTTGTGGAGCCCACTTCTCCAGGGAAAAATCTAAAGCTTCTGCAACTTGATTCTGGGCTTGCCAAAATGGAGATACTGTTGTGAAACTGAAGTGTGAACTGAAAGCACAATACTCACTCTGTCCTCTTTTGCACAATCTCATTTTGCACCGGGAGTATCTTTTGGCAGCTCATCTCAATTCAATTGCAAATGACACCAAGCCAACTGACCCCTAGCAAAATGACAAGGAGCATACAGAGGCACTCCTAATATTAAATGTAAGTGTTCTTATAGACAAAGATACTCTGAAGTAGCTATTTCAAATTATGTCCCTGCATACAGAATTGATGAACGTAGCTCATCCAGAATGCTTGCAATACCTCCAAAGCACTCCCTGTGCTAGCTCTGGAAAAAAAGAAAAAAGCCCAAACAGCATTAAAAGTTTCAGAATTTTTCCAAATAGCACAGACCACCTTCCTTCTTGGACCATCTGCAGCTGAATCAAAGAGAAGCCCACAGCAAGCATGCCCTCCCTCCACGGGAGAGGTTGTGCGGCTGATGGCAGATTACGTGGCACTGCTGAGCTCTACCATCTTTACCTTTGCAAGCTGATGATTTCCATTACTGTCTTTCACATCCTTCGGTTTCAGGCCATTTAAAATATGTTGAAGTACTGCCTTCCCTCAGGAAGGTCTGTATTTTAAGAAGTTATTACTTTAGTTTGGAAGAATCTATTTACTGAAAACACTCCATGAACAGGTTGCTAGTTAGAAATACATGGTTTATTGCTGCATTTTATTTACTACCATTTACTTTGATTGATGTCATGAGGAGATTTTGCAAAAGTTAACCTGTTTGTAGAAATAAATACTGAACATTTGATGTTCTGTACTTAAATGCACACTGTAAATTTCCTTTGAAAATAGCACCAGCTACCCGAGGTTTATATTTCCCCAGTCTTAAAATAACATCATATGATAAGAAAGAGATACCACCAGCTAGATTCAGACATTCAAATGCTGCTATTTGCTGGAATAGCCTCAGTTGCACGTGGCAGACTTCTACCTCTGTGCTAAGTCTTCCTTTATAGTCAAAAGAAAGGCATGCTGCTAGAGTGCAGTCCATCTCCTCCCATACCACACATCTGTATGCTCCAGGAATGTTTGCTTTCCCCCATTAACTGCAGAAGGAATCTAGGGGACCTGTACAGCAAAGATGTCTCCAAGAGGCACATGTAAAATTAGCTGAGCAGAATTAGAGACTTGGATTTTATCTGAATGCGTCTCAGTCCAACGCTCTTTTTAGGATGGGATTCATGTTACAGAACCTACGGCAAGCAGCTACTGGGCTGTCTGTCCCTCTATACATAGAGACTTTAGGGATTGAGATTAGTAGCTGAGATAACTACTGAAGAAAAAAGTTGAGATGCTGAAAAGACAAGTAGAGAGTTATGAAACTAAATTAAACCTACAACCCGATGATGACCCAGTTCAAAACCTTAAGATGGAGCAGGGGCAGCAGCCTGTAACTCCATGTAGCACCTAAGAAACAGTTCTTACACCCCCACCATCACCACCACGTGAGGCCTGACCACAGAGGGGGACCGACACACACCGGCACTCTGCTCACTAACCTTCTGCGCTCCCTGGCTTCCTCAGCTGAGAAGTCCTTTCCTGTAGTTGAGGCAGCACCAGCATTCGCAATGCCATTAGCAGAGCCGAGTATAGCACGATTTGTGATTACACCTAGGGGGGTGCTAGCAGAGATGCTCTCTGTATTTTTCTCTACAGCAGAATCAGTTTGTTGCCTGAAAGGGGCTCTGAAATAGAGAAGACATAATGGAAAGCAAAGCAAGTGAACTCAACTGCTGACTGAGACCGGTCACCTCAAGGAAGCATTGACAGTTCATCCTCCTCATTCTAGACTTGTGTTTTTGTAGAGAACAGCACACATTAAAATGAGTTTTTAAAAATTGGTAGACGAATAAGCAGGAGGAATTCATAGTCTTCATATCCCTGTTTGTAGCAAAAATGATTAGAAAATGTACCTGGTGAAAAAGCAGAAGGAATGAACTCCAAGAGCTTGTATACTGAACACTCAAGAACAGCCTGAACAACACATTGTGTCTCTAACAGGGTAGCAAGAGGGCACAACTGACCACTCCTGTGAGTGAAGAAGCTAGAGTCACACACGGGCTGCTAACTGCCTGCTGGTGCATACGCACTACTGAAGCTGTCCAACATGACCATTCTGGGATTTCTTATCAGCACTTCCTGCATAGAAGCGCACTTCCAATCCATTATCCACTCCAGAATTCAGAACTTCCAACCCAAATGCTGATTTTCTGCAGTGTTATCTCAGCTGTGAGCCGTTACCTGGTATACTGGCGGGCTGATGCAGTAGTGTTCACACCGAGAGATGTGGGACAGGAAGAGACAGGTTGCCACGGGGTGCCCAATGAGGTAGATGAACCAATGGTAGTGGGTGAGGTAGCTAGAGATGTATTGCGACTGGCTGAAATGTAGGGACTGCTGAGGTCACTACTTCTACCAAATGAAGCACTGTAAAACATCACAAAATCACGTCCTTCAGAGCACAGTAAATATTCAACAGAACATCACCACAGCTGGGATCTCAGCTGGAAAGGGAGCAAGTATTACATCTTAGCAAAACATACGCAAGGAGGTTAGAGCACACCAGGGTTGCTGCAGGTTGCTCGTGCTAGCAGCACCCCTCTTAGCTAAGCCCAGCTGAGTTTCAGTGAGAGAATAACGGCGTGGAAGTGAATCAGTGAAGTTCAGGGAAAGGAAAAACTCTACCGCAGTGAAGGCGGTACACACAAAGCACCCCTGTGTACTGGGGAAAGGTAGAAACAATGAGCAAGGATGAGGTTGCTTAAAGCAGGGAAGGAGAGAGTGACATAAGCAGGTCTGGCTGCATCACCTCCTAAGGATGCCCAGGACTTCCAGTCTTAAGAACTTGTTTTCAGTGGCTTAAAGCTTTGGCAGAGATGATCAGTTCAGGCTTTAATTTTCTTTAAGGCATGTTTGGCACAAACTCTGTATTTCTGGAAAATAGCTAGCAAAACTGTCCAAAAAATATTCAAGAACAAGCAGGGGAAATACATATTTTGCCAGTTTAAAACCAAACCCTTAAAAGCATTATTACTGAAAAGCTGTAGGTGTTTAAATGCTCATACTTTGGAGAAGAGATGGGAGAAAAGGAGAAGGGTGCTCATACAAGGATGTACTCTTTTGCTTTTTCAGAGAAAATCCACCCTAAGCAGAAGTTGCACACCTCTAAAAACAGATGTGATGAATTCTGGCAAAATCTCCTTCCTGTATTTGCCAGAGCCCCATATACAGGCTGCTCATTGCACAAAGCAAACAAGCATGCATGTATGATCTAGGGCCCTGCCACGCCTTTCCCAGCAACTGGTATTCCTGGTTGCTACTGGTCAGACTGGGCCGTCTGGAGGATCAAAGTCTAGGAAGGCTGCCTCTCACCTCCTGCATCCTAATGATTCCCATGTCATTGCACATGGAGGAAAGTGGTTGCACCAGGAATAAAAACTGACCTAGAGGAGAAACAGACCAGGATGAAGAGCTGCAGGTTTATGGGAAATCCAGGGACAACGGGCTGGAACTGAAAGTCAACACTAGAGCAAGAGCCAGAGAGAGCAGCCCGAGGCTGAAATAAAACTTGAAAAGGGAAGGACAACAGCCAAGGACAGGAGGTCGGAAGAAGGATCCAGTCCAATTCACTTAGGCACCCAATTTACAAATCAGCTTTTTGTGCCAAGACCCCAGCCAGCCCAGGACAAGCAGCTGGTCCCTGGACAGCCAAGGAGAGAATGGGGCGTCCTGGAAGGCCTCCATGGGGAGGAACCTTACATTTGGGCTCTTCAGTTGATGGCTGCTTGCCATATCCAGGTCACAAAGGCACAAGCAAGTTATTGTCACCAGGTAGCAACCTCCACCCTAAACAAAGCTTCCTCTGCAAAGCCGATCCCTGCCCAGAGCACAGGGGAGCAGGAAGTCCTGTTGGAAGCAAGTGCCTCCCTTCTTGGCTCTCTGCACCAGAGGAAAAGGCCAAGCCCTGGAGATGGGCTGGGAGGAGGGTGAGAGCAGGGAGCTAAGCCTGGATGGTGTGGGTGTGCAGAGCAAGCAGCCGTGAAGTTGCAGAAATGAGTGTACCAAGGAGACGATGGTATTGGAGCGTGCACCAGGGGAAGAAACAAGAGGAGTGGCAGGGAAAAAGGTGGTGGCAACCCTGGGGGAGCAGGGTTAATGTGGCACCATCCTAGGAGAGCCCGAGGCGGAAAGGGTGGGGCACGACGGGTGGCTGAAAAGAAGAGAAGGAGCTTGGTCAAGAAGGAAGGACACGGGAGGGTTATTAAATAAGACCTGACAAGGACTGTCCTTCAGAAGGGAAAGGTAATGGGTGAAAAGGGGATACAAGAGCATGGAAGCAGCACCAAGTACTTGTGAGAGCAGAGATGTGGGGGAGCCAAGAGGGGAAGAAGGAGGAGGAATGGAGGAAGAGAGCATGGTGATGGTATTGTGCCAGCTCCTACACACACACGCCCCAGGCTGGAGAAATGTGGTGCTGGGGCATCACGCACACACTCCTGCTCACAAGAAGGGAGCCAAGGCATTGCAGCTTTACAGGAATTCACCTCCCCACACGGTCACCTTCCACCGTTGGCATTGCACACTTTGAGGAGGACCCTACGACATTTATTCAATAGTTCACATTTGATCTGAACAGGATCAGAAATTGCAAGAAAACGGTTAGCTGGAAAATCTTGTTAATTAACAGCTGTGTTCATATGAATCTGTAAAAGGGAGGATTATGAATTTATGCTAAAGATTTCAACATTAGAAATAAAAAAAAGGCATTGACATAGTGCTACTTGTTCTATAAGATAATACCATAACATAACCATCAGGGAACGAGCAATGAAATGGAAAGCAACATTTCAAATCAATAAAAACAAATGCCTCTGAAAATAGCTAAGGCATGTAGAATTAAAAATCTTAAAAACCTTCAAAACCTTAAAAAGCTTCCACATATGCTAATAAAAAAAGTTTGCACAAAACACGTAACTTTTTTTTTTTTAACACACTGCCATAGGGTACTGCAGAGATCAAAATAGGATTTGCTTATGGAAGCTGGCCACAGTGGTGGCTATTAAGAACAATTGTTAAGTATAACCCCTGGCTCCTAAATTCATGATTGCTGGAAGCAAGGAGAGTGTGGGAGGTGGAAGACTGCTCTTAAGTTATCCTAGCTGTTGCAACTTGTCTTTCAAAACCAGTTGCTGTCAGAAACAGGTCTGGACTGCATGGACTGTTGGCCTGACTCACTGAGACGGTTTTTAAGTGAACAAAAACAGTAAGAAGGCATATATGCAAATATGTAAAATGAAGGAAGAACCAACTGTGTGAAAAAGTGATTCCATTCTGGTGTGTGTGATCCCCTTCTGTGAGGCATCGCTTATGGCTGATGTCAAAGGAAGGATGCTGAATTAATTCAATCTGCTATGCCAGTTTTCCTCCAGATCCTTTAATATACAGGCGAAGTGAGCTGGCTGTTTGAAGGCCAATATGCACATTTTAAAATGGAGAACAGGCGGTCAGAACAGGGTTCAGTGAATTCTTGGGCTAGTGGTACACCCACAGAGAAAGTAGAATGAATGACAGTCACTACTATTACAGAGAGAGTTTTAACATTTGCTTCAACTAAAGCTGAAGAACATTTGCAACATTGCTGCAAGTTATTTAGTTCCTTTTTAGAAGAAAAGCCATTTTCAACATCTTAAGAAGATCTGTTGCTGTTGTTTACTCTTTGTTTGGGGGGTCATATAAAGCACTTCTAGAACATAACTAGGTACCTTGACAGAGATTAGTTAAATGCTAAGGTAAAGGGGAAATGCAGATGTACAGAAGTCATCATCTCAGTAACATTCAAGTACATCATGTTCACTTTAATTCTTCCTCTCTCAGAATGAGCTTTTGTCTTTCAGAGTTATGTTCAGAGTTTTGTAAATACTTGGAAATGACAGAGCTTAGCCTTAAGAGGCAACCAGGTTCCTCTCCTCATCTCAGAGACTGATGCACAAGGCTGGAGAAATCAGAGGTTCAATACAACTGTAATTTCTCTCTGGTCTCCTATAGAAAGCCATATGAGATAAAGGTCAAACTGATCATGATTTTACTGTTTGTACATAAAATGCAAAAACACTGATTTCTTTAAAAAAAGTACACTGTATTCCTATCTGGCAAAGCTATTCTCTGTAATTGCTCGTAAATCAACACTCTCCTATGAAAGGCCAGAATTCAGCCTTTGTGACAAGAAATCGGTATTAGCGAAATACCGCTGCCAGCCAAAACCTTCACTCATCTCTGCATAGTTTAGCCAAGGAAATACTGTACAACTATGTGAATGTAATTCTAAATCTGGCTCTGGATTAGTTGAGATAAACAGAAAATGTTTGTAAAAATTTCAATGGACAGCCATGTGAGCGACTGGACTGTCTCTCAGACTAGAGAACAGTAAGGCATGCCAGCTGCAAGAGGCAAAATTTTTCCAATGTAATCAGCTGCGGCTTGTTGGACTGCCTTGAGAGAGACAAGCTAGGGAGGCTGGCCTGTCATCATGTCCCAGGATAGATGTGAAGTCACTGGAATGGATCAGCAGATCAGGAGAAGTCTACTGCTTGAAGTAGCTATCTGTTTCACCTTTTGTGGAAACGGGTCTGTATGTGCTCAGCAATTGGACAGACACATCCTCGAGCACAACTTACCTCTACCAGCGTAAGTACGAGAACACAGAAAATCCGCTTCTTCCCAAATATCTCAAGCAATTGTTCCATCTTCTGGACAGTTATTAAGTTCAGAGTCTAGAATTTGGTGAAACACTATCTAAAACCTTGAAATATTTCTGCCCTTTTCCTTGAGCACAGATCAAATGGCTTTGCAGCGTGACATGTTTAGACATGCTGTTCTGATGGTTTCCACTATTAGCTAAAACAAGGGTGAGATGATGGCACTGTACTTGCACAAAGGGCTAATCCTCCTTCTCACAACTGAGATGAAAACTCAGTGATGTATCATTTGCCTTAACAGAGAAGGGCATTCATTCACCTCTTTCAGAGACAGCTATTATCTGGTACTTCAAGGAAACTGAGCCTCTGCCCTCCGAAGGGGTAAAAGGTACTGTCAATTAAAGAAGTTCTGCGCAGGATTGCTTTCCTGATTCTGCTTGGATAGTTTGCCAACAATCATCATCTATAATTTCACACATATGCTGTACAGAAACTGCTTCCTTACTACCACAAGGAAATGGTTGGAAACATCAGTCTTACTCCTTAACAAGTGCTGTAAGCCATGCACAAGAACACTGTCACTTTTCTGATAATGATGTCATAAACATGGACTAATATAAAACAAAATCAGAGATAAGCTATAACTTACCTGTCAATAGCTATCTGAACAATGCTTTCAGACTGTAATTACTTTATTCTCTTTTTATGATCAATTTTGTTTTTATAATCTAGTCATAATACTAGCATAAAATCGAGAAAACACTTAGCATTTGAATTATGTGAACATGAGTATTTAAATTTAGTTCAGCAATTTACAAACCAACAAAAATGATGGCCTTTAAAAATATTATTTAGCACAACAAACATCAGCAAATCTTAATTTTTATTTCCTCCTCTCAGCAGATGAGGGTCCCATGACCAGTTACACTGATGCAGCAAGCAGGAGGTTGAAGTTTGGGAGGCCTGTTAAGAGTAGAACTGACTGCCTGGGAACCCACGTAAGACAGAACTGGACATACCTTTTCAAGTAGGTAGATACATAGGTAGTAGGTGCACCAGAATGGGGAGCTTCGTTTCCCTTTGATTCATCCCTCCACAGCTGCCTGGTGTAAGAGCCACTCCGCACCAGGTTAACAGCTGATTCTCTAAATTCAGGAGAGAGCAGAAGGTTTGTTTAGAAAAACTTCTGGAGTCTGCTTTTGGCTCCTTTACAGTTCCACAACAAAAATCCTTCCCTTACACCCACGTGCACAGTTGTTCATATGTGACACAACTCACAGAAACACTTCTTCTGGCCTTAATATCAGTATGCTATTGCCAGCTGTATTACTTAAGATGATGTAATGCTTTGCGCAAAGAGGAACAAGGTCCTTTTTAGTAAGAAAACCCAAAATTTAGATTGTCCATAGAAGTAATTTAACATATTAAATAACATCATTTGATATTCTTTCTGCCATCTTGTATCAAACAACATTGCATAAGTGGACAAACATTGCAACTGCAGGGGAAGTTTTTAATCCTTCGAGGTACCCAGTCAATGACAGTAAAGCAATTCAGTATGACAAATCCTTTGCTATATTTAGCAGCACAGAACAACAAACAAATATTTGACAATATCTGAAACTACTTGACAAGTTATCAATAAATTACTAATAGTCTTATTTATCATCATTATCTGAAATCAGGGCTCCTTTTCCTAATACACACTTTGGCAGTACATCCTATTCTTTTCTGGTCTTGGACAGGACCTTGAGCTTGTAATGTAACACAAATCCATTCACTCATCAGCCTGCAATTATTTTTCATTTTTCAATTGCCGTGTCCATGCTGATGCCCTTTCAGACACCTGTGGGTTCCATGATGTGAAACTCAGCTGTTTTGAAAGGAAAGAATATTGGGAAAAATCTGTACTACACAGTACGTCTGGGCACCATCTGTTCATGCAGGCCAATTCTCCTCATTCCCTAGTTTACCAAGCAAAGGACACTTATCAGCAGTCAGCTGGATATGCCACTCAATATGAGCCACTGCCAAAACTGCTCAAGCTTATCAGCAGACACAAATTGTCTGCTAAACTCCAAATCACAGTGACTGGCTGAGATTAAGCAAGAACACAGCAGGGAGGTTCCGGCAGAAGAGCGGCAAAGAGTCTCAAACTGTGCTGAAATTCTCACAGGGTGGTCATCTGCCATGACTTCTTCACAACAATTACAGTTCACAATGACTTCTCTATATGTGCCTTCCTACCAGGGTTGTGAAAGTGGCTGGAAATGACCCTAAGCTCAAGTTTTACTCCTTCTAGCACAAACTGTGAAGAATACATTTATAGAGATTAGTTCCTCAAATATAACTTGAGAGACTAGACACTTATCCCATTTATACTGTGGTTCTCTGTCCAGGGGCAACTACACACATTCACTGTAAAATAACCCCGGCAATGGAAACAGTTCCATACACAAGAGTTCACAAACTCAAGTGAATCAAAAAATGACAGATGCATGAACAAAGGGACTGAAGGCGACTATTGACCAACTGACAGAAGCACAAGTGTAGGTGTCAGCAACAAAATGAGCTACTTGCATATAAAAGGAAAAAGTATGCATAAATCTAGCTTCCTGGATGGACACCATATATGAATGAATATGGGGTGGAGAAATCAGCCTGTTGCCCTGCTCACCTAACAATGGACCAGAACTTTTATGGATCAGAGATAGCTCTCAATATTGTGAATTCCTGTATACTTGGAACTGCTGAGAAAATAGATGAATCATGAATATAGAAAAAAGGTATTCTGGAGGAACTATCGACAGGACAGAAGCTGAGCATTACATTCAGTCAGTCTCACCTGTTTTCTTTTTCTTCTATATCACTCGTACTGCTTAGTCTTCTGGGGGCTATTGTGGCAAGATAGCTTTTGTTGTCTTTATCCTGGTGAAGCAAAAGAAGTACTTAAATTGCACATCTGTTAGACTTCCAGCATGTTCAGTGACAACTAAATTCATGTTCAAATTTCTTCAACTAAGAAAGCATTCTCCTGTCTAAGGACAACTGGTTTAAGGCATTTTCTTGGGCAACACAACCACAGCATAAAAGTATCAGTTCTGAAAATGATTTCCTGAAAAGCATGCTAGTGAATAAAAGCAGCTTCTAACTAGAACTACTTATAAATCAGAGAATCATTGAATGGTTTGGGTTGGAAGGGACTTTTAAAGGTCACCTTGTCTAACCCCTGTGCAACAAGCAGGGACATCTTCAACTAGATCAGGTTGCTCAGAGCCCCATCCAACCTGACTGCGAGTGTTTCCAGGGATGGGGCATCTACTCATGAGCAGCAAAATTACAGCTAGTGAATACATGGGACAAGATTCGCAAATACAGCTGGTAGATAGAGGAGGAATCCATATTGATGACAGTGAAGGGGAATTTCCACTGCAGGTATGTGCTACTGTCTGGATTAGATATTTTCTGGTAAACAGTGGGTCATGCCAGACCGACAGCCCTTGTTCACTGGCAGCCTGTTGCAAACTGAGCAGGAATTAGGTCAAAGGGGCACTGAACTCCCATTCTCCAAGAACAACTGATAGGACAGGAGTAATTTTCAAAAGAAAAAAAGAATGAAAGAGGCCTAAGTTTGTTATAGATACAAAACCCAGTAATGAATGGAAAAGGGTCTTAAACCTCTGCGGTAAAGTCTGCTCAACTGGGATGCACTAAAACATCTTCGCTGAAGGCCAAACCTTTTCTTTGTTGTCTAATAACGCAGATATCCGAGGACTTGACGAAGAACGATAGATAGAAGTCTTATCTCTCTGTGCATCACGAGTAGCAGCAACCTCACTCAACATGTTGTGACTGCCAGTCTTCCGTAGTCCCAGCCGCCACGACGAAGGTGATTCATCCTTCTGCTCATCTGATTTGCTGAGCCAACTGAACTGCAGAGGAGAAAAAGGGACATTTGGAAGAAGTAAGAGCACTGCAAGGCACAGTCTGGGTTCTGAAAGCATTTCAATAAGCCCCAGGTTTTGCTGGCCTACACTTGTAAACATAAGATGGAGTGACTTTGATATCCTGCTTAGCTTTAAGTAGAGGACACAGCTCAAGGTGAACTCACAGGGGTGCAAACTGCTGTAGTGCCCTCATCCTCAAGGATGAAAGAAACCTTCTGTCACTGTGCAGCTCCCTTTGCCTACACAATGTCCTCCTCCAGCTTTGCAGGAAGAATATAAGGAACAATCAAGCTTTTATTAGCACCTGTTTAGGAAGGGGGAATTATTCAGTAAAGGCAGAAGACCAAAAAGAGTAATCAACTCTCTTGGGACGAGCTGCAAATAAAACCCTTACACAAATCAAACTGGAGAGAGTCCAGGAGAAGCCATTAAGATCAGGGAGCTGGAACCCACAACACATAAAGGGAGAGGCTGAGGAAACTTGGCTTGTTTAGCATGGAAGAAAGAAGGCAAAGAAAGGATTGAATTGCTGCACTACCTGGGGGGTGGGGCTTACAGAGGATATGGAACCACACTTCTCAACAGTCTACAGTGAAAGGAGGAAGAGGAACAGACAAGTTCCTACATGGGAAATCCTAATTGACATGAAGGAAGACATACCTTCTGGTAGGAGTGATGCTGCATTGGGACAGGGAGCAAGGGAGTGGGGCATCTCTATCCTCAGAGACTTTTTAATACTCAGCTGAGCTCAGGTAGTTCAACGTAACATGACATAGGCTTGAAGTTTGCCCTGCTTCAAGCAAGAGGTTGGACTACAAGTGTGTAGAGGCCTGTTCTAGTTTAAACTTTTCTGTGGTCAAATAACTGCATATTCTATGCATACTACAGAATGGACCTTCATGCTTTTTGTTACACGAGGCACTTCTGACAAGCATATATATTATTCCTCAAATATACAACTGCTTAAATGTATGGCTTTAGTTATAGTTATCAAGTCTTACAAAATGATGCCTACTGCCATTTAAGAATAGAGTCTGGGTACCACAAGGGATACTTCTACAAAGACAGGGGCTTAACACCAAGTTGTATAGGAAATAAAGCAAACAAAACATTAAGAATTATTGGAAAAGAACAGAATACAAAACACAACAGCCTTATGCCTCTCTTACTGCAGAGTAAAATCACAACTTCGGTATTACACCCAGCTCGGCTCCACAGCTCAAAAGCAGTAAGAAGGGGAAGAGGTTCGGAGAAAGGCAACGAGAACGAGTAGAGCAGAAGAGCTTTTGTATGAGGAATTACTCAGTATATCAGAAGTCTCCAGGCTGAGATATGAACAAGGTACACAAAAGCCTTGGTGGCACATAGAAGAGTGAATAAGGGTCAATTATTCCTTGTTCCTTCCCATAAAGGAAGTAGGGGCAGCAAACAAAATCAGCGCATGGCAACTTAACAAAACAGGTGCAGGAAGCTCTGTATACCATGTAACTAAGTTGAAGAATCCTTTGCCACTGGGCATTATAGGATCCCAAACATTATGGGCACTCAAAAAGTGACTGCATAAATTCATAGAGGAAAAGTCCAACAGGAGCTACTGAATACAAAAAAATACCACAGGTTCAGCAAGTCCCTGAAATGAAAATTACTAGAAGGTGGGCGAGAAGTACAGCTAGATTCTGGCTTCGCTAGTATCTGTTGACAGTCAGTGTCAAAGGCAGGATACTGGGAGAGAAAAGGTTTTCTGCCAAAGCTGATATAAGCATTATTATACCATATTCTACATAACACAAAATATCTGACATTATCCAGAATAAATGAAGCTACTGAGGAGCTCTGACCTCAAATTCATTGCCTCAAGACTGCAAAGATAAAATTATCACTGCAGTATTTTAGCAATGTTTCTTAGCTAATGTTATTTTAATGCAGATGCACAGAGTTAATCTGTACTCCACTAATTCTAGCACTTCCAGTCTACTGAGCTACACAGCTCTAACACTTTAATGTAGGTTTGACACTTTCCTTAGAGAAAGATCAAAACCACAGTAAAAGCTGCCTTCTGTAATTTCTGAACAACATAGGAACAGCACATATTAACTCCACAAACGGAGGGCAACACAAGCACTCTTACTTTCCCATATAAATCCAATCTGACAGAGAGAGTTAGAGAAGAATCAAACATGTAACAGAAGGTAAAGTAGCTGATCTTAAGTCACTGAGGTCTAATAACTGCTTTGCACACGGGTCCACTTCTATAACTTAACAGCCTTATTCTGGTTTAAACAGCTCAAATAAGTGAGAACTATACTCTACAGCTCCGAGAAGGTTAACTGAAGTGCTCACACTTCCCAATATCCTTCTACCTTTAATACTTCCCCTGCTAAGTCAGTCTGAGTTGAACAATTTCCAGAGGAGCTCTGTTTCATTTGATCTGAACAAGAAGTTAGACTTAGTAACATGTCAAAAATAAAAAAATTGCAACTCAGAAAGAAACATTTTCTCTCTAACATGTACCTAGTGCTTCAGACTTTGGCAAGGTGCCTTCATTGTCTAGCTGTTCTCCATATTCTGGTACAAAAAGAAACCAGAAGCATAAGTCCTCAGCAGAACACAGGGTCTCCTGATGCCATCTAGCTGAGTGACGCAAGAGCTGGAGAATTCAGATAAGATTTCAGTAACTCTACTTCACCTTTAAAAAGCTTTCATAGCCTAGCTATGAAAGCCAGTCAGATCAAACTTTATCCTCTCTGCTTACTGGGCTGTAACATCATGCCGCTGAATTAACTGAGTTTGGTAAGTTGGAGGCACTTTAGCTGATGGTGCCAAATTCACTGCTGATACATCAGCAGGAACCAGCTTTGGTGAAAGATCTCCTGCTGGTAAGAGATTGGCATCAGCTACCCCAGAACTGACAGCGACACAAAGCACTTGCAGTAAGCAGGTTTTCTCTTGTGAACAGTGTGATTTGCTTTGGAGGGTAAGAGATTCAAGAGGAACCTTATCGTACAAATGTCTTCCCCTGTGCCAGTCCTATACTGTTGTTAACACGGCATTTTTATCAAAATGTTATACTACCAAGCTTTCCTAAATTCAAGTCTTACAACTCTGCTGAAAATCAGTTTCAGAGCACCCGTTCCCCAACAAAACCTATTGCTTTCAAGCACTGCTGGAGTCCCCGTTGATTCCAAATCCACTTACTCTTCTGGCAGATGCAGTGAAGGAGTTGGGCTCGGGTGGCGGTATTTGCTCAGTGGTGCTAGGCCTGGTTTCATGGCTGGAGTGGTTGGCAAAGGGCTCTTCCTTCCTTTCTATAATTTTAAACAAGAGAAACCAAATGTTTCAGTATTGCACTTCTAAGGCCCCTCTTTACATGCACAGTGTGCACTAAAATCAAGTTCAGCATTGCTGTGACCTCAGTATGCATTAGATCATAAAGATGATGTCACTGTCAAGGTTAACCAGTGCTTTCTGCAAGGCTATATTTGCCAGGCAAAGCTTTTGAACTTTATCCCCATAGACAGGCAAAATCTTTGCAGAAAGCACCTTAAGGAAGACAAACAGATTTGTTTGTTTATTCACAATTTTGTTTCCTCTCAGGGATTGTTCTTCCCTTGTAAAACTTCAGAAGAAAAGCAGAACATGCCATTCCTATTGTAGTACATGAGTATGCATTATAGCACATGCCCCTGAGTGGGCCTGGTGGTGGATTTCACTGCACAGTTCTGCTGCAGTTGCTTATGCTGGTGGTCTGGTCTTCTACAGCAAAATCCATTTTTTTACATGAAGCTAGGACTGATTCCCAACAAAAATCTTTAACAGGGCTCAAAGCAAGCTAAGTAAACCCTATCAAAGCTCACAGCTAGCTCCCTGCTTGTTAGACAAGTGCAATTGTCCAGCATTACATTTTTTTTTTTTGTATCTATGCACCATGATGGACATAAGAACATCCACCAGACCATGGAGATGGTAAGCAGAAACTGTATCTCAGGCAACAGGTTCATTTGATAGGAGTGCACCCGGCTCTAAGACAGACTATTTACCAAACACAGCCACATGCAACCTGTCTGAAAAATGATGTACCTACACCAACAAAACAGTATTTTCCTCTTGCAGCTATGAGTGCCTCACAGAGTCATGGTTTTGAAAAAAACAAACTAATTTTAAGTGTAAGCACCCAAACAGTAGTAACAAATGAGGCATGTACAGTGAATAAGGATATTCTATCACATATAAAAAACAGTTTGGTATGGAGCATCTGTGAGTATGGCACCTTGGAGCGTGAAGATCAAACTTTCTGAAACAAATGTTCTCACTCCTAGAAAACAGGATTCAAAGGACACAGAAAACAGAAAAGAGCAAGTCAAGAGAAACACTTAAAAATAACAAGCAGTTAGCAGGACTGACAGATCCAGAATTAAAGAGACAATGATCTTCCCTAAGAAGGTCTGCATGATATTGAAGTCTCAGCCATCTTTCACTCTCTTTGTGTTACCTCAAATTCCATCAAAGTCATTTAAATCAAGCATTTAATTTCTTGAGCCTAAAACTGAGATGCATTGCACCTTCAAACCGCCCTTTCAGGAAGGGGCAGTAGGCTACCCATTTCTCCTTGCAGGCCTGACTTAACATACAGCAGTCCACAGAAATGCATACAGACAAAAAAATTACATGCTTGCCATTTGCTGATTTCTTGAGACTGAAGCCTGCAAAACACAGGAGAATCCTCAACATGGCAGGAAGGGGAAAAAAGACCTGACCTGACAGCCAGCAGGCTTTACAGGCTGGGCTAGATGGTCACTGGTAGCCTGTTCTGGAAGTTTATAGTACAGAGGTCAGCTTTTAAGGTCAAGCCTAATTACAAGGGCGCAAGCTTAAGTGGTAATGACAGGTTGGAAGGAACTCTAACTGTGAGCAACGTGACCGAAAGGAGTCAACTGCAGAAGGACAGGCAAAAGTACCTTGTGCCGGCAGCATGAGAGACTGCATGACCACAGACATGTCTTTAGGGGATGATCCCATACTTTATTTTACTAAAATTTCAGCCATAAACATTATGAATTCCAATCAAGGGAAACTGGTGAGGATTAGTTCAATCTCCCCAAAACAAATCTGGTGAGACTAAAAATTCAGCTCTCCAATTTGACATAAATATAGTTTTTCTTAAGGGTTTTTGGTTGTTTTGTTGTCTAAAAAAAACCCAACACTGAAAGCTTCCCTGGACTGCTTTAATTCACAATAATTATGTATTGTAATAGTTACCAGCACAGATAACTTTATACTGATCTTTCTCTTGTTTATATAGAGCCCAATGCCAAATTGTTAATTGTCCTTAAAATGAATAAAATGGCATTAATGTACTTGGCTTCCTGTTGGAAGAACAGAAATTTCTTACAGATTGTAAGAAACATGGTACTCTCTGAAGCACTCCAGGAATTTCACTGCTCACCTCTTCAAATTTCTTCTCCTCCCACAGTGTCTGCAAATTCAACAAATTTATCGCAACCTGAGACCCTTCAAAATATACATCAAAATAAACTTCTGTATTATACTGCCAGCTTCTACTTTGTCCTGCCTTATGCTCAGTTACCAAAGGGGTTAAAATTTCTTGGTCTGAAAAGATCACTCATAACAACATTTTGGATTCCCACCCCCCCAGTCCCCCCACCCCTTCATTTGGACTTTGAATGCTTTAGAACAACAGTCATCATTTACCAGTCCAGCACTGCTCAGAATTACAAAGCTATGTGAATATTAAATCTCTGAGGAAAATGAAGAGGAATAAGGAAATAATTTCCATGTTTTCAAAACCATACCTCCTGTATCTGTCCAAGCATTTAAAATGTCTAGCAGATAATAAAGCATAATTGTTCTTAAGACCATTTTTGAAACTAGTAATACTGTGACATTTATAATTTTCTATGAAAAGCTATTTTTATCCATTTTGAGTCCTCCTATAACATGTGGGCTGATATTATCTCATAAATCTTGTTTTAAAGAGAGTACCAAAAATGTGCACCCCATTCACATATGCAACAACTGACAACTAGGTCCACATCCTGCTGGACAAGTCCATGTTCATTTTATTAGAGATTTGAGAGGTTTACCAGGTAGGGTTTCAATTTTGATTGAAATTTCTCAAAGGAGCCAATAATCTCTCTGGGAAAGGAGAGCACAGGTAACAAAGCCTGAAGCCTGATGCTTAATTGTTACTTGAATGCTTTTTGTCTTTGATTTGTTTTAGCTTTAGTGGTTTGAAATAAATTAGTATAATGTGCTTTGCTCAGTGAATTAACTCAATAAAAAGACCTGCTCTGGCTTTACACAAAATTTAATGCCAAGTGCTGTAGCACCTTCCTTGCTGAAGGAGCTTATGCTGCTCCTGAATCAGTTAAACACCCTATAGCTCCACTTCTTATAGCTATACATATGTTAGAGATATTTTGGTCAAGTTGCTACCATGTTTACAAGTATTGGTACATAGCTATACAGGGCTGCTCTATAGTAAAACCCTGATTTATGGATCAAATAAATGTGACTTCTCCACTACATTTGCTTGATTTAAAAGCCAAAAGATTATTTTACCCTCTTACTGTCATACCCAAATAGCTTTTGTAACTACCAGCTCTGCAAAGACCAGCCAGGATTCTCAACACCTCTCATACAGTGATAAACATTGTAATTTCTACAATTAGAACCCAGGTGACAATTTTACTAGAACAAGAAGCAGGACAGAACTTTAAATTACACTTCTCTGCAAGGACTTATTTATTCGTTTATTGGGATATAGGCCAAGTAAGCTGATATTAAAAGTAGCTTAACCATTAAACACATCACAGTCCAAGATCCATCTGTTTGCAGAAAAAAGTACAAGCCTTGGCTTACTGTAAAATTAAGTATCTTTACTTAAATTTTCTGTGCTGCACACATACACTGTTTAAATTAATTAAGGAAGCTGCAGAAATTATGGAAAAAGAATGGGAGTAGGATGTCAGCAATATGATATAATGTAAAGGCTAATGTGACACAATATACTTAATCCTTATTTTCCACTATGTTTTGCAATTATTATACATCAGTCAGAAAAAAGTTCCTCATCTCTACAATTACACAGAGCAGCTTCAGTCCTTCATTTTATTTCTCTGATCCAAATACTACAGGCTATTACCTTCCTTCATGTTCAATTGCTTTTCTACCATCTTGCAGTAACTGAAGCATTCATCCTAAAATTGGCCAACAAGAAAGACTACTGTTTAAGAACAACCAATGAACAATGCGTTATCTTAAATTCAAGTGAGCTGGAAGTAAAAATTAAAATACTATCCATAGCTTCTTTTTTTTTTTTTTTTTTAAAAAAAAAAAAAAAAAATTATGCTGACCTGGGAGTCAGTATTTAGATAAGCTTTTCCAGTACATTAGCTAGAGTTCTCCATATTCTATACATATACACTGGAAGTATGACTTTCAGGTTGTCTTTAACAACTAAGCCAAGAAAAAAAAAAAAAGCAGTTCTCAAACTGATCCCCTAATACTGTTCTAGGCTAATTATTAAATCCAAGACTACTAAGTCTTACCTGAGTCCTTTTCAGCATCTGATTCTGAAACTTCATCTTCTTCAGCTTCTTCCTCTTCTTCAGAACTAGAACTGCTAGAGTCCTTGTTTTCTTCCTCCATTTCCATGGACTTCAGTGTGTCTTCCTCATAAAGAATCTTCTCTTTGCTGCAAGATACGGAAATTTTACCAGGCGAGTTATTTCTGAGATCTACTTCTCAGGAACACATAGACATGATTTGCTACATATAGAACAAGCAAAAGGACAAAATCTATCTACAGACTCAACATCCCAGCACTTGCAGCACTGCCCATTTGCCATGGATTCCAATGCCAGTTTCACATTTCCTAAATTTGCAAGCATTTCTCAATCAAAGAAAAGCTGTGGTCTCTCTTTTCCTAGTGCAACACAACCCATCAGCTGGACCGTACAGCTCTGTGCAACTGCAGCAGTGCAGTTCTCAGAGCAAAGGTCAAATTGATACTCGGCAAGAGTAGAAGCTGGGGGACCAAGGGCCAGCCCAACTCCCTGTTCTACCACTCATTAAGAAATAGCTAAAACTGTATTTGAGAGCACTCAAATTTAACAGAAACCATTAAATGAACATGAACAGCAGTGAACTTTTTTTAAAACAGCTGAGGCCAGCTGACTATTAACAGATGAAGCTGGTCTTCCATTATTCTCCTTGCAGCTTCTTTTCAACAAAGAGGAAAGAGACATACTTGGTGAAGAGTCTGCTCTGAGGCTTGCCATTCATGTCAGCTTCAATTAGCTTATTCCTCGTCTCCTTCTCACTTCGCAACTGTCAAAAAGTCCAAGAAGATTGGAGAAAGAATGAAAAGAGACATCTTAACAAGCCACCTCGGCACAATTCAATAATTACCACAGCATAAGGTCATCCCAACCTCGCTAGACGAAAAATACTGTGGATTTGTTCAACAAGCCAATTCGACAGAGGCGCATCTGCAAGGGCGCTGAATGTCTTGGAGTACAGCTCCATCAGGGCACAGCTACAGACCCAGCATGTCCTTAGACTCAAGCTGGAATTTAAGAAAACTTTCAGAGAAGTCTGCAGCAGTCCCTGCTGAGACCCAGAGTCAAATCCCAACTACGCCAGTACTGCCCTGCATCTGCCCATGCGGACACAGTGCTGGAGGTCTGTCCAGATGTGTTTGTATGACATGAAATAGATTCACTTAAAAATCTGCTGCCTTTGTAGCTATTATATACTTGCTCTGAGAGAAAAAGTATTCGAGTATGCTGTGCACAGGCAGCCAATGGATCTCCCACAAGGATGGGTCACTTCTTAAATGTCTCAAATGCCAGCATTAAATCATCACACAAGAATACCCGTGATCACCACAGCAACTGATACATTTGCCCAGAGAACAGCAATATGAATTTTGTCACCACTGATGGACAAAACAGTAGACAAATAATTGTTTCAGTACCTTCTAGAAGCACAGACACAGTTGAGGTAGAAAAAGGGATGGCAATTAGAGGCTCACTTTTAAGGCTGTCTCTTTTGTGTCATGTCTAGCCTAGTTATTCTTTCTCTTTTGATAGGAGCTGACACCAGGCACGAGAAGCAAAAGCCCCACAAATTCTGAGTGTGGGAAAAGCTACATGGAGTCCAGTGAAGAGCCAAAATTTGGGCTACAGCATGTTGTTAAATAGAACAAAGTGCTGGAGCACAGCAAAGGGAAGTGCTGGAAACAGCCTGCTCCATTCACATGTAATTCAGAGATTGGGGAAAAAAAAAATCCAAACCCAAATCAAATTGCTTCCAGCAAACAAAATTCCCTATTCTCTCCAGTAACAGCAGCAAATCTTTTAGCAAGGATAGCACATTGTTCCACTACAAGCTTTAGATCTGAAAGACATTTTGAAAGTGAAATAACGTACTTAGAGGAATGTCATGGAACTGCCTAATTCATCCTTAACAAATGTAAGTTTTCTATTTTAAGTGATAAAATTGGCACACAATAAACACACATGATAAAATGGCATTTCTATTAAAAAATCATATATACTAAAAAAAAACCTTGATAAAATCTGGATTCTGCTTTTCTTCCCAGTTCCGCTATAGCTTTCTACACATTTAATAAATGGAGAAGGCCTTTATATAGTGCTACTATATAGAGAAAAAGGGGGTTGCTAGCCCCTGCGAAGCAGGCCTAAAAATGGGCTAGCAGCCATCCAAAAAGTTCTTGTCGTTGTTTTGCTTTTTCTTTTCTTCTGAGGAGTGCATTTATCTGCAGAATCCTGGTGTAGTGAGATAGGAGGAAAACCAAAATACAACACTGATAGTATTTATTAACACCTCATTTAGGGAGAAGCTGATTAATTTTTAAAAAGTTTCTGTGAATGTTAAGGATGCTATTTAAGGATGACAGCAGCTGTGTTATGATCAGAGCTTGAGTTTTACCACCCACATTGTCAGTTCCTCAAAATACTTTAATGGGTTTTATCAGCAGTGTTCTTTATTATGCCTGTTTCTGAATCCAACATTTTAAATGATACTTACCGCTTTTATTTTTTTTTAAAGAAGATTGGTTTGTTTTTTGGAAAGACCCAAATGAGATACTTGAGTAGATCAGATGAAATAGAAAAAAATGCAATCCAAAACCAACTTTCTGGCTTGATGACTGGCTTTACTTTGATTAAGATATATTTTTGCTATCATTTTTTATGCCAACTTTTTGCTTATAACCCCTTCCAATATCTCCACTATATTATGAAATAGTAATTTAATATGGTTTTGAAATCACCAGTTTTTTAGTGCAGAATTCCCTGAAGCTTATAATTTCTTCTCACTCAAAGGTCTCCCTACTGTAAGAAAGGCAGACATAGTAACAGATCTCTTTCTCAACACTGACAGCATATTTTAGATGCAAACACAAAGTTGACTTGGGTAATCACTCATGAAGAAAAGACCAGTTTGATGCTAGAGTTTGCCAGTTAACAAAAGCAACTGCAGAACAGTAACAATTCCAAAGATGAACTATACATTCCTTACCAGTTTACGTAATTCTGCACATCAGCACACTACTGACTTCTTGATGCAGTCGTCCAGTTTTCTAATTTCTAGCTATTAGTAATATTGGTGTAATTAAAAATTCCAAATGACTAACATAAAAAAAATAGCATGGCCTCAGCTTCCTGTGCCTGCTGATGCCGTACGTCTTAGAGAACACCTGTGCATGAAAAGGTAATTGGAGAGGTGGAAAATGATCTGCCAGAAACTCACCACAGTCTGTTTCTTCTGCAGCATTTCTAAATGCTCAACTAGTCCCTCATCAGCCACGTCGAATGGCGTCTGGCCCTGATGCAATAAGAGAGGACAAGAGGATATCTAATATGGCATAGCATTAATACACAGAAAAAGCACTATTCACCAGTGAAGAACAAAAGTGAACATGTTCCACATCCTCCCTCCCCAAATGCTGAGTAACATACTGTTTCACTCCACAGTAGGGAAAGCCAGGCAACAGTGATGGTAGTTTTATGACTCAATCTGTGATCAGAGCAACCTTAATCATGGAACTGCAGTTCCCTGATTGCTGCTGCTCAAATCTAACAGCCAGAACTAATACATTTGAGTTTCCAGGTTTCTAAAAAGGACACTCTTGTACTGAGAGGGAATGTGATCAACCTGTTCTACTGTACCATCATGTATTTGAACCTCCTGAAAGGCTGCCAATCATCAGCAAGCCAACAAATTTGGAAGGCATTTTCACTTCCATGGCTATTTACAAAATAAAACAAACTAGAAAAATTAATTTGGGGCACAAAACAAGAAATCATTTACATTTTCACCATAACTAAAGCTGTAATAATAATTTAATTAACAACACATAATGAAACCTGATGGCTATGGATCACATAAATACAGGCTGCCTTGGCCATCTGACCTAGCAAGGCAACAATCCTTGACTGGAAAGAGCAGGTAATGCAGCAAATACAACTGTGTGTGTTCCTTTTCAAGTCTAGCACAATACAAACCCCAAATGCATTCCAAACACTTTGAAAAAGCACCTGATGGCTCTTAAACCAAAACAGATTCCCCATACTTGGGATGCCAAAAATGCTCACCATCCTAAAATGGCTCCCGCTCATAGAGCCATTTCTTTTACACCAGTTTCCAGTACAGACAGATGCACTCAAACCATACTGTGCCACATTTCTCTTAGCAAATTATGTTGCCTGCTGTCATTCCCGGTGCTGTTCCAAGCACATACAACCTCATTTCCTCCCCCAGAAGTAGCTGCGGCACAACTGAATCTGCTCCAGCAGGAAGAGGTTCACAGCCACTGCCTGGGCATCGCAGCGGGGAGGGGAACAAAGCACAGTCCTGGACAACACACGTCAGCTCTTGAAAATCCACAGGCTCCTCAGTGGAAAACTTCTAACTACTAGGATGGAAGAGGAATTTTTTTTTTTCTCCATTTTTTTTTCCCTTCCATTCTATTTTTCTTTACTCATTTCTCATTAATCTGAGTCAATTTTTCAATTTCCCCTTTTATGATCAATGTAGTAGAACAGGAAAGATTTAAAGCTGCCAGTTTCTCAAGGGTTCAATAGTTTTCAATGCTTTACATCTTAATACTACCGTATCATTTTGTACTCCAAGGCTCTGTTGTTGTTTAATTTGTCAGGATTATACTACAACAGGAAGACACAGATTGGCTCCTATCCTTTCTTACAGCCTTCATCCTAAAGTTTAATCTCTGATCTTTTCCAGTGATACATGAAATCTCTTCTGCCTTCCTCCAGTCAAAACTTTTTCTGATACTTTTAAATGTCCCAGTGCACACACAAGGAGAACTGCTCACCACGTAACTTTTGTCACGGCGTTGGATCAAGTGTTAGGCAATAAAGATGATATTCACCTGGCTATAAAATACATTGCACAAGTGATACCAACATCTGTGCATACTAACCAGCTTGTTCCTGATGTCCATATCGCACAGTGCCTCAGCCAGGATGGAACAGGCTTCCTTCACTCCCCAGTGTGCAGCAGCATGGAGTGGAGTCCAGCCATCGTTGTCCTGGACATTCAAATTAAACCCAGCCTGGATCAAAAGCCTGAGGAAAGAAGCACTATTGATTTCTGCCCACCCGAGAATGACTTCTCGACAAGGAAGAGTTCACACCATGAGCCATGAAGTAGTTAACGTAAGCCAGTAGTTTCTTGTTTAGAAGCAACATCCCACTTAATGTGCAGAATTCTGGTTAACTGTAACAGAAAATTACAGTAAATGAAACATGATTTTGCTGTAAAACCTGCTGGAATGGGTCCAATTGATCAGGTTCCCTTTCAGCAGGTTCTAAACCGGGAGGACACCTTACTTTCTAATCTGGCATTGCTGACCCACTCTGAACTCCTGCTCCAATGGATGAGACACACCAGACTCACTCAGGCACTAAGCAAACAAACAACATCTCTGCAGACTGCCATCTCCATAACAAGGAGCCAAGCACAGCACCTGGCATGAAAGGACATTTGATAACTAGAGCTCAGTCTTGGTTCTCCCAGAGAACAAGGTCACACTGTAGGAATGGTCCATACGGAGACCTTGCCCGCCTGACTGCCAGCCAAGAAGCAGTGACATTACTGTGACTGACAGGTGTGAAATTTGTAAGTTAAATAACCCACATTTGGGTTAAACAACCCAAAAGGCATTTTTGCAGACTTGTCCTTGCACAGTTAAAGCAAATCTTACCCAAGTGAACCTGCCCGGGAACACCCTTGTATCACATTTACTGCTGTGCACCTTCCACCCACTCCTTTCTATCAGACCAGAGCGCTAGTGTTGCATAGCATCTGGAGCTTGAATATTTAAAAACAAAACAAAACAGAATAGAGTCAGATGTAGTCTGAAGCTTCAGAGACATATGCACACTGGTATACCAGTGATCTGATGAAAGTACTGAGCAGCTCATGTACCAAAACTGACTATTATTGTAGTTGCTTAAATATTGAAGAACATCTCAGGGGAATTCTGCAAGTCTGATAAAACTGCTACTGAAAATTTTCATCTTGGGAAATTCTACCATCCAGAGTCACCTTTCTGCAGCACATGGGAATTCCAGCACAACCCCAGAATGGCACCAGCAGTTTTGAAACTCCTGCAGCTTTACAATGATGCATTACTGTGCTAAATAAAACACAGTCATACTATAGCAGCAGTGTGTTTCTCTGCGAAAGAAATTTTAAATTAGGTGCTGACTTTATGTTGATTTTCCAGCTGGCAAAAGGGAGGAACATAGCTGCTAAGAGACTCAAGGTCACAGACAAATTCCACATCTCATTTGAGAGTTAGCTAGCTCCTGCCTTCCAGCCCCTTTGGTTTAAGTCACTGAAGCTTTGTATTTGAACTTACAGGGTGGCCATAAAATACACAAGAGTGAAACAATGTCAGCTTTCCATGAGATCTGTTTATCATTATAACAATTAACACCAAGGAGTAGCTGTCCAGAAAGAAGTCACCCTGCAAACAGTGAATGCAGCCTTCATTGAGGAGTGCTGGATATAAAACCCTTCACTGAAAGTCCATGGGACCAACACCTCAAATTCAGGAGATATTACATTTCCGTTCCACATAAGCTGTGTTAGATTACTGTTCTTGGGCACAGTACAGGCACAGACAGTTTATAACTCAATTACAAGCTCTAATGAATGAATACAAATAGGAAACGTGGAGAACAAAAAAAAAAAAATACTAGAGCTTGATAAGAAACAGCTCTCACACATCAATTCATGCCACTTAAAACTAAGAAATTAAGGATCAAAATGGATCATAGAGTCACAGACTGGTTTGGGTTGGAAAGGACCTTAAAGCCCCCCCAGTTCCACCCCCTGCCCGGGCAGGGCCCCCTTCCCCCAGCCCAGGGGGCTCCCAGCCCCGTCCAACCTGGCCTTGAACCCTTCCAGGGAGGGGGCAGCCACAGCTGCTCTGGGCACCCTGGGCCAGCGCCTCACCACCCTCTTAGGGAAGCATTTCTTCCTTATATCTAAGGATGAACACTTCCAGAAGTCATTTTAATGTGGGCCATAAAGTAACCTTGCTAATGTTTATGAGCAGCTCCACCCACACATAAGAAGAAAGCTTTATTGTTGGAAACCTTAATTTGGCCTTACCTGTAAAAAGATTAATGCTTTATTGCCAGGAAACACTATATCAGGCAAGTTTCTGTTCATAATAAGCTTGCTAGTGCCAGAGTGGTAGAATCAGAACTGCTATTTGTTGAAATCCCTCTGTCACTGCAGATGGCTGCAGCAGCAGTAGCATTAAGGGGAAGGGGACAGTGAGATAGGGGTGGGCACTGCATTCTTCCACTAGATTGGTCATGTATACTGTTGGGGTGTTCATGACTGTCATACAGCATGTATCATCACTTTCTAGGCTGAAACTGTACTTTTATCCCCTAATATTGTTTTACTTGCTAGTCCTAAAACTATAATAGTGAAAATTAAACCTTCTAATTTACGTCTCTGTCTCTGAAAAGCTTTCATCACTTTAAAGGCCTAGAAGTATGAAAAGGAATCTTCCAGTCCCTGTGTATTTCTAGGTGAACCACTATGGTTGCGGGGACATAAATCTGCAGAGCCTTTTGAGAAACAGCAGCCTGAAAATCTCAGTATGAAACAAATTTCTTTCAACCATAAAGCTAGATGAGTTCCTTATGAAAACCAGCCTTAATTCAATGCATCAGACCTGGGAAGGAGCTCCTACCTCATGACTTCAGAATAGCCCTTTGCTGCAGCAACATGAAGAGCCGTGGCACCTGTTCGAGGCTGCGTTATATCTTCAATTCTCCCACTGTTCAGCCACTGTCGGGCATCCTGTAGCATTTGCTGCTCCTCTTCTTTTCTCGCCAGGTCTAGGTCTACACCTAAAAAGGTAAAGCACAGAAGAAGAGATTATCAAATGAAAGCTCTCATGAATGGGTTAAATTTATCTTATGTTTCCTTTGCTATACAATATTAATAAGCTCTTAGCAATCTTCCACAAAAATTAGCAAAAGCATTTTCCAGGAGTTGGGAGAACTACTGCATCACTGACAAGCACTTCAAAGCTGTCTGACTTAAAAAAAAAAAAAAAAATTCTGAATATTGAGCCACTGGCTGGAAACCAGCCTAACTAACTACCAGCTCAACTGTGAACCAACTATGGGTGGAAGAATTATGTTCTAAATATGCGGTGTCCTAGATTGAAATAACCAAGTCATGAACATCAGCCTAACAAACTGAATTAAACAGTGTGAGTGTTAAGCTACAGTGAAGATCTGAAGAGATGATCCTAAGATGTCTCCTGCAAGAACATCACAAACCCAACTGTACAGTCACTTAAAATTCAGTACGATTTGCAAGCTGCATGTACAGAGATCTCTATACTGCATCAGAGCCATTTATGTCAGGCACATGGAAAGAAATATTTAATTAATTCCACTGAGCAGCAAACCCTTAGACTTTGACAAAACAAAATTCTAAATAATTCTGAGGCTAGAAAGCAAAAAAAAAAAAAAAAAAAATCAAATCTGATGATTTAAGAGATCTGCTTTAGATGAAGTCAGGTCAAGTAAATCCATCAATACACACATCTGGTATAACAGATGTGGTCTATGGGGATTTCTGATAACAAGAGGGACAAGGTTCTCACCCTAGGAATCAACTGCTACTACGTGGAGAGGCCAGGTGGGTCTGGCTGATGGGCTGTGTCAACTGCCACTAAACCAAAAAGAAGCAAAACTATCTCAGACTTGTATTTGTAAGTGGAGTTTTCATGATAATGAGGTCATGCAAGGACGACACATTAATCAGCAGTACACTACAGCTGCATACAAGACTAATCAAACTAGAGCTTGGTGACTCAGGAAAAAATATGAAGGAGATGATGACAAATCTCAAAAACCAAGAAGGGTGTTGAAAAGCAACTGTCCCTGTGGATTAGTTCTTTCAGCATAAGAACAACATGATTCCAAATTAAATTATGGGGCATTAGATTTAAAACAGAATAAAAGAAGACACTTATCAACTCAGAGTCTGAACTGTGAAACCCACTACTGGCTTCAAATCAAGGATTAGACAAATTTGTAGTTATTAAACATAGTGCTATGCATGCCAGGAGTTCCCAAGAAGGACTACACAAGTTCATGAAACAAAGCCACAGGGGATTCACGACTACACAGAAACTCCATCTGGCTCAGGAATTCCTTGCGGCACAGTGGCTGAAGGCTGGGAAAATGTCTGGGAGGGGAATGATACACGCTTGTCCTGTTGTTATATTTTGCAGCTGGCATCTGCTTTTAGCTATGACTGAAGACAGGCTACAGAGCTGAATGGACGCTTATTTAAAGTTTATAACACATTTACTCCAGCAGTTATGACCGTTTTAAACTGTGTCAATGGGAAGCTTCTCAGTGGAGACAGATGGTTGTTTCAGGGCATCTTAGCAGGATGCCGCTAATGTGGTGAAGCAATGAAAGAGCCAAGCAGAATCCCAAGAAGTGTCAGGCAAAATATCTGCAGCCGAGGCAGAATTACATGAAGAACTACCTACAGTCAGCGCTTGTTTTACTGGGCTGTCCAAACCATGGCTGTCTCCTCTCTGCAGTCAGGCTTCCTTGATGTCCAGAAGGATACAGACCCTATCTTTACATCAGTGTAACTGGTCTCTCTTTAAAGTGGGTATCAAGAACTGTACATGGTAATAACATGGTCGAAACCTTACAGGTCATGGTTTGGACAGCCCAGTAGAACAAACATCGACTGCAGACACAATTCCTCTTTTTAAATATGTGAGCAGAGTAAATATAAGGGCGAAAGGCTATTTAAGCTTATTTCAAAAGTAGAGGGGAAAAGGGAACAAAATAAGAATAACCTTGTTACAAATACTAGAGTAAAAAGTGAAAAGTTTCTGTTTACCTGAAGGCAGATGACCAGCATCAATTTTCCAAGAGGAATAGTAAAACAAATAACAACTAGCTCTCAGATGGACAGCTACAAACTCACCAGTGGGACAGTAACACAGCTGACAAAGTAGCAAGGGACTGATCTCTTCCTAACTATACCTGAAAGCAGCTTCAGAAATAAAGTAACCATCGTGTAACAAGCAGAATATACCTCTTAGTGAGGACTGGATTCAATCCAGCATACAAACAACCCTACCACCAACCTGCAGTCATAAAATAATCTAGACTGAAAAGAATCTTCGGGAGGTCTCTAGCCCAAATCCCTGCTCAAAGGAGGGTAACTTCAAACCCAGACCAGGCTGTTCAGAGCTGAATGCAGCTGAGTTTTGACTGCCTCCAGTGATGGAGATTCCACAAGTTACTTAGGTCCCTGTTCTAGCACCTTCCTTGGAAATATTTTTCCATATATATATATATATATATGGAAAAATGTTACCTATATATATATATATATATATATATATATATATAGGTATGTATGTATATGCAGTCAGAATGTCCCTTGTTCAGACCTATGACTTTTTCTTCTCATCCTGTTACTGCACAGCTCTGAGAAGATTCTGGCTCCATTGCCTCTGCAGCCTCCCTCAAGGCAGTGTAGGACAGCAATCAGATCCCCCTGTCAACCTTCTCTTCTCAAGGCTACATACACAGCCCGTATGTGGACAGTTTGGTCTGTATCAGCCCAATTTACCTCGGTCCGTGACTTCGCACATAGTTGAGATAAATGCATCCTTCAAAAACATTCCCCATGAACTTCATAAACAGGGTTTCAACTTCTTATGTGCATGCGCACAGACACCTAACCACTCACAGATTAATTTCATCAGTATGAAGAAAATTTTACCTGATGAAGCATTTCTTAATTATAACACAAATTACACTATCCAATACGTTTCTTCTACCAGTGCTGTTTCTGCAGGGACAGTGCAGAGAGCAGCCCCTCAGACAGGCATACCTGATGAAAAGGGGGAAATAGCAGAGCAGATGGGCAGCAGGAGTCATCTAGGGAAGGATCAGGATAAAGCAGGTCACTCCAGGCCAGGCATAATTGCTTCCCGGTCTCTACTACTGGCAGAGCTGTAAATCTCACCTCTGTATTGTCAAGTTTTAGTAAAATAAGACCTTTCATTGATACAAGGGGTCCGAATTAAATCTCACTTTAAAAGCAAACAGATCTAATGAATCAGCTTTCAGTACTGCGGTGTCTTGCTTTGAAGACTCCTACTAAGGACAGAGCCTGCACACCACAAACCTTCTGCATCTGTTCCGCTGTTCTGCTACCACAGCAAAATTTGTCTGCTGCCTCTTGGGCCAGATTTCAGATTTCTTCACCTACACACAGTAAGCTAACAGAATTCTCTTACAGAAACTCTTAGAAGTCTAACTCTCACATATTCAATCCCACTACTGATTTACCTTGTTTCTTTACTTGTTCCAGAAGCAGGTCCTTCATGGCTGCTTCCTCTGCGATGTCAGACGGGACTTCACCTTCACTGTTCACAGCAGCCACATTGGCTCCATGACTAATTAAGTACCTGTGTGAGTAAGACCCATACCAACGTATTAGACCCTGTGTGCAGGCTTCAGTGCAACTTACCCAGTAAATAAAGTAGCAGAACAAGATATTCTCATTCAAGTTCAATACCAAATGAGTATCTTACTCTTATCAAATTTTAGACTAAAAAAGTTCATTGTTAAATGTAAGGTCCCTGGTCAGTGGCTCATAGTTTTTGTTTCTCTATAGTTATTCAAATACCCCTAGTTCTTGCACTAACCTGATAGATTATGCTTTTTTTTATTATTTTTATTTAAAAAAAAAAAAGAAAAATAAAAAATGGAAGCATAAAAAAAAGATAAGCTAAGCCATCACCAGTTTTTTTAATTTGTCTTTGTATAAATACACCAAAAGTTCATTCAAGAACAATTAATATCATCTTTGGACTGTGTATCTTGTAACCAGTAAAATTCTGGGAAGTAAAAAAAAAAAGTATCATTTTAAACACACAAACCTAGGAGGGTGAGGTAGGAGAAGATATTTTTGCTTGGGTTTATTTTAAAATTTATTTTCAATGCCTTTGAAAAGTAGTTACCACTATTCAGGTTTTGGAAATTTTTTCATAGCTGTGGTGGACTGAAATAAGCATGGCATGACTTGTAAAGAATAACAACAACAACTTTCATTTGAAGAACTAGTATTTGGGAAGAATCAAAACCAAACTGATAAAGGAACATTTAAAGAGCTAAGAATTGTTCCCGAAGGAGTACAATATACAGAAATAAGTGAGCCACAAAAGATATTTTTTGGTTACAATATACTGCAGAGGACTATCTTGAGAAATACTAATGTTTTCCCTTATTCTTCTGAACTACAATGCAGCCTTTATCCCAGAAAAATTATTTCACTTGGGAAACTACCATTTATATTTGCCTATTCTTCAGTTCCAGTTATTCTAGCACTCCAGATCATGTATTTGAGCAACTCTCCAAGTCTCAGAGCAACTTGTTGGTGCACAACAAGTAGTCTAGTATCAGTATCTTCTCTAGAACAAACAGACTATTAGTCCTTTGTGAGCATAATGAACGCTCAGATCAGATGCAGAATGCAATTTCAAACCTGAAATCAGAAACTGTGCCAAGAAGAGTCAAATCTTTGTTGGGAGTCACTTATAGCAGGTAACTGCTTTGCTTTAAACACCTACAGGACAAAGCTCTGTTATACTTACTGTCTATTCTTTCGTATGTATTTTATGTTTGTACTCACTAGATTATCTAATCTCTCTAAGGCAGGCCAGAGAATTTCACTCAGGTCCAAACTGAGCCCAATATCTTGTGTTGTAAACAAAACAAAAAAATACAACAAAACAATGCTCTAATTGTGAGTTAAGTAACAAGCGTTTACTTTTATCTACTTCTCCATCTTTTGTCAGACAGTATGCAAGAACAGAAACGTAAGATCTGAAATTGAAGAAAAAGAAATGATTCTGTCAGTATACTGGTGACTCCAGAGCCCAGAACATTGCATTTCTCTCTTAAGAATCTCCACAAAACTGCAGTACTGCTCACATAGGCCTGTCTATGGTTAGAAAATGTAGTTGCTTTGTAAAGCCTCAGAACAAGGGTAATCATTACGACAGTTCCTCTGAATTGTTTTATAGTACACTGTCTATTATTTGGGGTTTATAATGGAATAGCTATATGCATGCAATTACAATAACACACTTTTTGTACAGAGACAAAATTATTTCTAATTAGAGGAATAAAATCCCGAATTGCTCTTAGGTAACATTTAAAATTCTACATGGGCTCCCTCCACTGATGGAAGTGCACAGCAAAGACAGCAGCAGCAGAGCTGTGCCTCACTACATGTCTCTGTAGTAGTGTGCCTGCCTGCCAGCCAGCCATCATGTTTCCCTTTTGCTTGGCACTTTAGCTGAAGTATCTAATGAATCATAAGTCACTGTAATGGGATCAGCAAAAGGCAACCAATTGCAGACTCTACTTTAATCCTTACAAATTAAGAACTCAAGAACAGGAAAAATGCATCTATTTACAGCATTGCTTCCCAAGACATTGTACAAGTCTCAGAGCAGCAACTGCCTGTGTACCTACTCTGAAGATGATGTGGAAAGTGTTATAAATACCCAGAATAGCCTGAAACTCACTCACTCTGCTATGTTCAGATAGCCACATGATGCCACTGCATGAAGAGGGGTCCAGCCCTCGTTATCTTGTTGGTTGACATTGGCTCCATTTTCTACAAGGAACTTCACCATGTCGAGGTTCTCATCTATACAGGCCTGAGGGAGAAGGGGAAGGGGGACATCCAGGGGAGGAAAGGATTGAAGAGAAAAAGGAGGCGGGGGTGGGGTGGGGGGGGAGGGAAAAAGAAGGTGTCAGTGTTAAATCAAGTGTACAACCTCCATTTGCAGTTTATTGGCAGCAGGTAATTTCTGGGCTGAGTTTCCCACACTGTGATCTAGTACACCTTAAAATTTAGGGTAGCATAAAGTTGGGAACTAAAATAAAGTCATTTCAGAACTTTCAAAAATTAATTGTAGCTCAGAGTGTCCCCAGGTGGACAACCTCTAAATGTGCTCAAGCTTTACCTCTCATCAATTGATCTGTTTCCTTCCTCTCTCCCACACTTACCTCCCTGGAGCAGGGACACACTTTAAAATGATGTATCTGCATTAGTTTTAGGTATGGCATCAAATTCCTCTAAGCAAGGCAAGCTATGTACTTATTTAGATTACGTTCTTCCCTCAAAATGTCAATGAAATAACATCATAACAATGAACAAAATGAGATATCACTTGTGGTAGGGATGAGCAGGGAAAGCATGAGCTCAAGAAGCCTGACTAAAGCATACCATCTGTATACTGTATGTTGCCCTTTACAGACATAATCATAGCAAAAGCAGAATTTTAGAGAAGTGAATAACTTCTTTATTTAGCAGTATTTATTAATTTTCCTGAGTATAGCAAAGCACAGCTTTCCCTGTTAGCTACTGAAGAGAACAACAACCCTTTATTAGCCACGGGATTAATTCCAGAGCCTACATTTAGAGACCTTGTAGCTTTGAAGTTGCCAAAAGAAAACCTAGCTACATTTTCAAGTCTCAGCACTTCTGTTGGGTAGAATTCCTCCTTCCTCAAATTCCTGGCTACAGCACGTTCTGCATTGCATTTACAGTTCACTGGAGGCTGCTATTTAAGGATGAGCTGGCAATTTAATACATACATCCAAATGCATGTGCCTCAGCTGAGAAGCACCAAGCATGACTAGGAGGCAAAAGGACTGGCTTTTACTGTGTCTCTGTCCATCTGCAGGCAGAAACCTAGGTTCTCATTACTAGACAGGAAAACAGTTTGGTCGAAATTCTTCCAAGCCCACAGTACTTGATTATTTTATATAGCTAGATGTGGGCACATCTATCAGTTATGGCAGTCAGATGACTTTCAGATGATCATTCTACTAAAATGAGCAACACTGACTATCCATTCCTATCCTAGCAAGTAATGAAAACGAGGAAATTGTCTTTAACCACCCCCACCACCCCTACTCCCAAACGAGACAATCTTATATTATCCAACCCATTCATCTATGCTGCATTGCTTATTTCGAAGGAGAGGAACGTCCTATACCAGGACATCCAACTCCTGTTATTTCTACTGCAAGTGTAAATCCCAAACTAGCCTTTTACCCCACAAACACTAGTTACTCTCATAGTTGCCTGGTTCACATGTAGCCATGCAGAAGGCTACTTGTGAACTTTAAAAAGCAAAAGCTTTTAAATCTCTTGCCTCTAAGGAAGCACGCTCCAGAAAACTAACTCCTAGTATAGTTACTTGGCAAATGCTGGGAAATGCAGGGCACATCTATGGTGGTAGGAAAGCATGCCCTGGGAGCAGACTCAAACACCCAAATCTAAACTATGACTATGCTGAACTGTTAGCATGTTCTCTTGCCCTGGTTTAGACTGATTTGATCTTAATCTTTGCCAGAAAAGCACAAGCATAATTCTAGAAATAGTTTACTTCAGGGACTGCTCCAGACCCAGAACAGAGGAGACTGCTCCTGGGTTGGCTCTGTCCACCCTGCCCAGTCCTTTGACACTCTCCCACCCTCAGGCACAAAACAGCTTCATCCTGCAAACCCAGTTCCTGGGGACTTTCCTTACATTATTTCAAACACTAGAATTGGCAAAAACCCCAAAAACCCAAACCAAAAATATCCGGGGCTGAAGATCTGAGGTTGGAGGAGTCCCAGGTCCAAGCATGATAGAGTAAGAGGTGGTTAGGTCTGAGCAAAGTGGATGCAAAGCAAGTTCTACCAGCAGCCTCAGGAGTAAGGTTTGTTTCTTGTCCACCTTTCCACAGATCATCCGGTCCAACCCCCTGCACAAAGCAGAGCTAAAGCTGATCAGGTTCCTCAGGGCCTGCTCCAGCCAGTTTTTATTGTTTGTAGTGGATGATGGAGACTCCAGGGCCAGTCTGGGCCCCTGACCCAGTGCCTCACCATTCTCTTGGTGGGTAATTTTTTTTACTATCTAATCAGGATTTTTCTTGCTGCAATCTATGTCTCCTGCTACAGTAATACAGATGTAGCCTCTAAGTCTCAGCATGTGATGAAAGCAGGAAACACAAGTCAAATATTCCTACTGTACAGGGGAATGAAAGTGTGCCCAATATGCACGTGATTAATTTTAAGACATATCTGAGAAGGGCCATACTCCTGATTTCCATAATCCTGTAAACTATGCAGACAAATCTGTTAGTGGCTTACGTCCATAACAATGCATTCAAATGCAGTAGGAAGGTAAATTATGCAATGCAGAAAGAGATGGACATTGACACACAAGAGGAACATACTACTCCCTTTTCAGTTCAAAGAGTAATTTTGGGGGAATTTGAGTCTGAGCCTGCAAAATTCAGAGCCAATCTCTATTTTATTGCCACCCACATTTATTGTGATATACTTCAAGTTCTTCCCCAACACGCCTCAAATAAATTACACTTCCAGTCTTGATGAGTTATTCACATTTTGACCTGGGAACACAACCATTACATATCACTTTTTAAATAAAACTGATTTCATCTAAAAGCGTATTGCTCTAAGAATAGCGAAGACAAGTTCACCCACGCAGTGGTTTCTTTTGAGCACAATCACTTCTGGCTGACTGAAGAATTATAGCTTCAAAGAATTTTATCAGCATGGCTCTGACAATGCAGTGAGGTAGATGTTTCATGCCTGTGTGTACCTACTGCTCCGCTGTATTTGTTTATTACCTGCAGTTTGAGTGTAAATCTAAATTTAGACTCAAGAATGCCTCTATGTTGTGAGCTTTGCATGTATTTGAGAGAGAATTATATTTACATTGTTTATCATTTAAACCACCCAAATACACCCACTACATCTGCACATACTAGAAATCAGCCAAGAGAAAAGACCAGTTCTTGCTCAAGCCACTGGATATACTGGACTCTAAAATTAAATCTCTGTTTAGATGCATAGAAGATCCGCCCCCCCAACCCTTCTAAATTTCTGCCTGTTATTGGCCACGTTGTTCTGCTGGTCCTCATCTCCCATGGTTCCTATGGAATGCATGCTAGGAACAGAAGGGATAATGGGATCAAACCCCACCTGTTCCTACACAGAAATCTGCAGTAATTTGACTCGCCTGGCTTCTGAAGAGGTAAAATGATGACAAAGTGACAAAGCTACATGGGTGCTGACGACAGCAGGCATTCGTTCACTTCCCCATGGGAACCATAACACATTTCATGATTTCTGTTTGCATTTACCATGAAGATAAGTCAAGCACAAAGGTGTATTAAGTCCTTAATGGATGTATTCTTTAATATTTAAGAAAAATAACCTTCACTCTACCCTTCTGCATCTATGTATCATGAAAAGCTACTGTTCAAGTTATGTGATCAAACAATGTGACACTGCTTGACAAATATTTATTTAAGTACGTTAGTAACATAAGAATAGAAATGAACACACAGTTGAGTAACACAAACAGTTTTTTAAATTACTTGAGGCTGTGTTAACATTAGCAGGTGTGACTTCTTGCCTGCTTCAAATATCAAAATGCAAGAATTTTTTGCATTTCCATAATATTATATAATACTGGCCAAGATTTTAAAAAATGAGGTGGGGAAGGAGTTTCAGAAAATGGCATTCAACAAACAGAGGTAGTGAATAACCCCTGTTCAGGTCTGAAAATCTCACTGTCTCATTAAGAAACTATCAGACACAGGATTATTTGCATAATTTTTTAGTCAGATACCCTGCTTGTATCTTAATATGCCATGACATATTTAACACAACTTAGAGCAACAATGAGGTCAACGATTGGGATGAGTAAAATCAATAATTTCTAAAGATCTTCTAAACATTAAGAACTTAAGAAAATACGTATAGAAGTTATGACAGATTAAACAGCAGCTTTTATATGCTGTAATGTGTTTCTGTGTATACTTTTAAAGTGTCAACTGATTAACACTTATATGTTATCACAGAACTCATATGTGCACACACTAATGGTATTGTTTCATACATGACATCATTTTACCAAGCTATAAACTAAAGAATGGAAATTCTCACTGTTTAGAAGCAGTAAGGGCACGCACTTGCCCACCTACAATTTCTGAGAGGCCTGACTGCTGACACCTTCCCAGAAAATCTGTTTTATTGTACATATCTGCCAAAAGTAAGCACTGCAAAACATCACATAAGAAAGACGCATTCACTGAGATTCAGAGAGTAAAGATCATCATCTGGTATAGCAAAATAGGTTACCTGAGGTTACTGGACGAAGGAGAGGACAAAGAGGAAGTAAAAGGGGTGGATGTGTCCACCTTTAAGTACTATTAATCCTCTAACCTTAAATTTAGGAGAGTGGATAGATTTAGTAACCTGAGAGGATCTATCGCTATGCGAAGTTCTCCTCCTCTATTTGATACAGCATTCCTTGGGAACACTGTAAGAATAACTACATTGGACAGCAATATTACAAAGCAGACACCTGCCTCTTTCCTCCCTTTGACAGTTGAAGGAAGTCAAAAGAAGTAACACTGCTTTTTTGGTGGGTAGTTATTTAATGTGAGGAAACACTTCCTCTCCTAAATTGCCTTTGAAATTTGCTTTGCATACAGAAAAGTACATACACAGATAGGCTTCATTCTTTCAATTGTAGGCACTGCTAACCCTCAGCTACTTGCTTTCACACAGAGAAGAGGCTAAAAGCAAGGTTAACTACAGAGCACAGCATTTTTGCCTTTAAATTTTT